TGTAGATTTGTATATGTTAGGATATCTTGGTGGATGTAAAAAATATGGTCGTTTCTATAGAAATGAACTTGAAAAAGTTGTAAAAATATTAAATCCAAAAAAACCTTTATCAGAAGAATTAAATAACCAATTTAATGCATTAGAAGGAGAGTCATATGTTAAATTTCTTGGGGTTGTTTATGATTGGGTTGATATAATGTTAAAAGATCTTCAGTCACATCAACCAGTTGGTGAAAAAGTTAATTTAAAAATTTCTGGATTTGTTCCTGTTGAAGGAAGAACTGAAATGATAGACATTTTGCAACCATTGTTATCTACAGTTATTCAGTCTAAATATAAAAACGATGTATTTGAACAATTTATTTATTTTGTCATTAACTATAAGAAAAGAAGACTTATGAGAAAGGATGAAATTCAATTCCTTATTGATTTTTTAATAAAATATCCAAGTATGAAAGCTGTAAAAAATTCAAATGATGATACTTGTTATTTCCCAATTCTTTATGATGAATTTATTGAATATGTTCAAAATAATCACAAATAATTGAATGAATTTTTCACTAAACACATTATTATTTTCATAATTAGTAGATTGTACTATTTTCTTTGTTTTCTTTTTATTGAGTTTTTTTTTAATTGTTTTTGTAATTAAAAATTTTAAGAAGTTGTTAAACAAAAAATAACTTATTTCTTAACAATACTCGATATATGTTAATATTTAACAGAGTCTCTGTTATTGCATCTGATAATTTTCTTGGTATTCTTTACAATGAATAGTCACTGGACAAAAACATCTTGTATCTTTAGTTTAAGGAGTTAATTTCATAATTTAATTCTATTCGCTCTAGTCAAATTTAAACAAAGAACTAATCCAAGTTAATAACAGCAAACTTTGTTTATCTCTTTTTTTTATTAGGATATTAAATTGGTTCACTTTTTAATATTTCATATTATTAAATAATCTTTAATGATAATTTATTCACTCATAAAGATAATAAACTGTTCATAAAAAAATAACTTCATTGCATTATATTAACCGTATCGTCTATAATTCATACTGCTTATTTTCACTACCTAAGGAGTCTAGTTTGAATGTTTTAATTAATAGTATGTATTTATTAAATCTTTCAACTGACAAAATAAGAAAATCATTTGAAATAAAGGAAAAAAAATTTTGGACTATTCTATTTCTCTTTGAAACCAATATTTTAAAGAATTGATATATTAAAATGATTATGTATTTGGGTAGAGACAAAATATATTAAAAATTATCTAATAAATACTTTAAAAACCAAATTACAATACATATTAAATTATTAATTGTTTTATTATCTATATTCCAATAACAAGATTCTATTTCAAAAATAAAAAGAAGCAAATTCTTTTAATTAATAAAAAAATTAAATTGGATTCATAAAATTTATTATTCAAATAAACTCAAAAATAAATCATAAGTTGTTGTCATTAAGGAACAAATGATAAAATTGTTTATTATAATAATGATTATTAACAATTGTTATAGTGAAGAGACAACACCCCTTAATTATAAACAGAAAGAGATAGAAGATATTGTACCAGAACTATATGAGTCATATAACCAAGATTTTAAAACAAAACATTTTATTATGTTTTATCATCCTTATTGTGAGTGGTGTAAAGAAATGAGGATGTTATTAATTCAATTATCAGAAGAACTTCCTAATGTAAAATTTCATCAACTAAATTGTGTTACTTATAAACAGTTTTGTCAAAACCATCGAGTCAATAGTTATCCAAAAATGTATATTATTCATGGATTCTTTAATGGTCAGTGCTTTGATAGAAAATATGAATTAATAAAAAAATTTATCGTTAATTTTAAGTAAAATTATGTAAAATTCATTTACCATCAACAATTTGAAATAATATTCAGTTTAAAGTAAAATATAACTCCTTTTTCTTTTTGTTTATCAACTTCTTTATTAAAAGATTATTGAATAAGAGTTATTTCATTATAACTTTTTTAAAATATAAATCTTAATGAAAGACAAGTTAAAAAAGAGAAATTCCTAAATTTCTATTTAAGTATTGTTAATGATAGTAAGAAAGTATCAATTTAATTATCTTCTTTACCAGCATGGTTGTTCTTTCTCTTTCTTCTTCCATTAATTTCTGGATTAGTTAATGGTGTATTATCAGCTAATTGAATGAGTGGTTCTGATTCAACTCTAACAAGGAAGGATGGAACATCAACAACTTGTTTACCTACTTTAATCATTTTTCCTCTAATAAGAACTCTAGCATGGTGAATAGATTTAGCAAATCCTTTTCTGTAAACGAGAGTTTGAAGTCTTCTTTCAAGAAGATTTTCTTCTTTAAGGGCAAGAACAAATTCCAACTTGTTTTGATCTCTTGGAAGAATACCAAGGTTGTGAAGTCTTCTGAGAAGAGCTGCACCTTCAAGAAGTCTCTTTGGATCTCTAGCATCTTTCATTAACATAACTTTAGCAATAGTTCTCATATGTCCAAGCATATAGTGAACACGTTGAATTTCCTTTTTATTTTTCAATCCAAATTGACCAACAAGTTTAAGTTCAGCATCAAATCTTTCTCTTTCGTATGGTACTTTTGGTGTTTTGTAAGTGATACTGTGGTTTCTCAAACAACGTCCCATGCTTCACTTTGCCCTTAGAGTTCTTTTCAAATTTTTTTTAAGTTCAAAAAAGGGTTTTATAGTTTCTTATTAATAATTTTACTATTCATCTTTATCTTTTTTATTCCTCTTTTTCCTGATATCATCTTCAATTTATTGAAACCCTATTTTAGGGTATATCTTAAAAGAAGAACATACCAATCATTTTAAATAATTACTTTTTAGTAATTTAATTTTTTAAGAAGTTAATAAAATATTATATTTATTTTAATTTAAATATCACATTAAAACAAAAAATAATTAACAAATTTTTTTGATTTTTTTTTGAAAAACAAATCAATAAAAGTAGCACTAATTCTTTTTCTTATTGTCTTTTTGAATATATCTTCCATAATCATAAATCATAAAGGCAATATCTGAAATTGAAACAAAACTAGCAATTTCTGAAATAGCAAGAATTATAAATAAAATACATGCATCAAGTTGTTGTTTAATATCCTAATATTTAATGATACAATTTATAACAAATCAAATACAAAAACAAACTAATATACCAAAAGCGAATAAAATGATAATTTCACCTCCAATAATAAATTTCATTGAATTCAAAAAATGATATTTCAATAAATAAAAATGTGAAACAACTAAGTAAAGTACAATTGGTATTAAAATACGAAGAGATAACCAATTTCTTATTAAAAAGAAATAAAATATCCAAACAAATATAACTAATGAAAGGTTCCAGTTTAATGTAATAGTATGACGATACACAAGCGCAATAAATAAAATAAAAATACATATTGTATGGAATGAATAATAAGCAGAACTACCACTTGGATATACAAAGATTGATGCACAACAACCAAAGAAACTTGATAGTCCACTAAGTCCAATATAAATACTTGCTGCAAATACTCGTTTGAAATATTTACTATCTTTTAGATAAAATAAACTAACAATAATTAATACAAAGAACTCTGCTATACAAACACAAAACCATGAAAAAGAACTAAGTATCATAATATATTGTAATACCCCTTCTGGAAAAGTTACATTATCAAATGAAAAATTTTGAACATATCCAAATTGTTCTAATAACATTGAAATTCCATTCTTTCCTTCCATTTCTATTTTTTTTAGAATCTTATTTTTAAGTTCTACTAATTTTTTTTTATTATAAAGTATTTTGTGTTTCTCATTTTAAATAAAATATTATTATTCCAAATATCAAGCATTTCAAGTTTAAATATAAAACATAAAATGATAAGTCTAAGAGGTTTTGAATATTAATGAAACTTATTATATATTTCTTGTAAAAGTTAGTTATTTCTTGAAAGAAAAGAATTCCTCATTAAGATATCTATACTAATATTTGATTTTTTTTATGAAAAATGGTTTTTTTTCTAAAGTATCTATGTTAAGAACTATAAAGAATCTAGAAATCTAACTAACATTCATCTAATTGAAAGTTCTCTGAAAACCTCACAATCTTATACAACCTTTAAGGTAAACTAAATGAATTTATAAAAACTTAGTTAATAGCGTGATGTAATTAAAACGAATTTTATACTTATGAAAAGATACATAAGAAATTGAATTTTTCAATAAACTCTGAGTATAAAAATGAAAGAACCAAGTTAGTGTCTTAAATACGACTTGAAAAGAAAAAGATTTATGACAATATTTATTTAAATATTTTATAAGTATGAAAATAACTTACATAGTACTAATAAGGGTGTAAGAATTAAACCAACCTATTATAAAATAATTCAATTTCTTATATTTTAAATGAGAAATTGAATGATAATGTAAATTCATTATTTTTTTGAATAAAAATCAAATACAGTGAATTAACAAAACTACGTAATCATTTATTCAGTACTATAAATGAAATAAGTAATTAATCAAATTTCCATAATAAATAAGTTGGGGGTACACAAAAAACAAGTAAATAAGTTTTAGATAAATTAACATTTTTAAAAGAATATATTAATGTTAAAAAAAAAAGACTCTTTTTAAAGAAAAACTTTGATTAAATTAAATGGGTATTACGCATTATTTAACACAGTGAATGGGAGAATTTTCAGAGTATAAAACAATATAAACATATTTTAATTTAGAAAAAGTTACTCATAAAGATTATCTAATTACATCCACTTATAAAAAAAAAATAAATTGGTTGATCAATAATAAAAATCCAATAGTATGAAATATTTGATATTATGGTTAATTAAATTATGTAATATCTAAAAAGAAACTCGTAGATAAGTATTTTAAGAAAATAACTTTCTGTCATAGGATTTGAACTCTTTATTATATGAAAAGGAATAATTAATAAAAAAGGAAATATAAAATATTATACGCAAACACATTAATAGAGAAAATGAAGTTAAAATTCTATTTTAACTAAAAAATAATTTTTCAAATAGAAATATCCCTAAAATATATTTCAAAAAAAAAAATTTAAACATCATTAGTACCATAAAAACTGAAAAAAAAACAATAAAACATTAACTTCAATTAATGAAAAAATATTGTTATGATGTAAATATTTTATCATTTGGTAACATTCAAGATGATACAGAAAGATATAAAGAGATGGTAGAATGGGTTAAATCATATAGAGAATTAAACATGAGAAATACTTTACGTCAAAAAAAACCAAAAATTTTATGTCCAATATGTAATTCTTATTTAAATCTTTCTGACACATATTGTGTAGGTGATTGTTGTCATAGGGTCTGTTATGACGTTTGTTTTATTATGTATTAGGAATGCAATTAATATATTTATCAACTTAGTGTATAAAAAAACATGTACAACAAGAAATTAATTCAAAAAATGAATATATTAACTGTCCATGTGATCAATGTGAGTGTAAATTAGATAATGCACCTCGACTATTTAAAGACAAAATAATTTCAAGTGAATTGAAAGAAAAATATGAAAAAAAAATGAATGATGCTTATTTAAAGAAAAATAACTATTCTCCTTGTCCACTATGTCATGAACTATTACCGCCATACGATGGTCCAAATAAAAGGCATTGTAATTATTGTAATGAAGATTACTGCTATAATTGTCATGAAAAATGGCATGAAGGATTTACATGTCAACAATATGCCAATTATAAGAAAATGGCTCCTCTTATAAAAGAATTATTTGTTGAGGGATTAAAGTTTATTAAAAAAGAAAATGATCCAAATTTATCAAATAGTATTATTCAATTTAACTCTATGTTATTGAATAACTGTATGTCCTACCAAAGATTTATAAAATCATTTAAGGACACCCCTTGTAATCATGCCTCTGATGGATTTTTTGCTTGGCATGGAAGTTCTGAGGTAGGTGTTAAAGGGATTTGTCAAGAAGGTTTTGACCCTAAGAGAAGATTAGGTCAAGCACATGGTGCTGGTGAATATTTTGGAGTTACAGCAAGAATCTCAGGAGATTATTTAAAAGAAGGCAGTCATCATATGATTTTAACATTTATTTCAAATAAAAAATTTAATAAAATACATAACAATTTTTGTTACGTAATAAATAACCCTTTGGATTGGAGTTATTCATATTGTCTTCCATTATTTATAGTATCATATGGTAATCATTCAGAAGTAGATTATGTATCAAAGGAAAATTATTAAAATTAATTGATCAATTTTAAGTTTAAAAGAAAAATTAAAAACAAAATTAAACCCTAAAAAAATTAACCTAAAAAATTGAATTTTTTCATTTGATGAGTTTATCTCCCTATCCAACAGCATCAACATCAAAAAAAATTAAATCATCAAAAATATCCCCTTCTCCTAAATTACCTGAAAGTAAAATTGAAGTAAAAAAGGGAACTTTTGGATATGAAAAAATTGGAGGAATTGATAAAATAATAACTGAAGTGAGAGAATTAGTTGAATATCCTTTGTTGCATCCTGAAATTTATAAACATCTTGGAATTGAACCTCCTCGTGGTATTTTATTACATGGACCTCCTGGATGTGGTAAAACGTTATTAGCAAAAGCTATTGCAGGAGAAGTGGGTGTTGCTTTTATTGAGGTGTCAGCAACAGAACTTGTTGGAGGAATGTCTGGTGAAAGTGAAAGTAAAATACGCGATTTATTTCAATCAGCATCACAAAGAGCACCTGCCTTATTATTTATTGATGAAATTGATGCTATTACACCAAAAAGAGATAACGCACAACGTGAAATGGAAAGAAGAATTGTTGCTCAATTATTGTCTTCATTAGACAAACTTAGTGAAGCAGATAAACCAGTTATTGTAATTGGTGCTACAAATCGTCCTGATTCATTAGATCCAGCATTACGTAGGGCTGGTAGATTTGATAGAGAAATTGCTATGGGCATTCCTAGTGAAGCACAAAGAAAACAAATATTAGATAAAATGATGGTTAATTTAAAAATTGATTCTGCTGTTAATATCGAAAAATTAGCAAAAGGAACTGCAGGGTATGTAGGCGCTGATATTGCTGCCTTAACAAAAGAAGCTGCCATAGCAGCTATTCATCGTATTTTTAGTGGAAAAGCTGGAACTGATAATCTTAAATCTATTCAACAAGATGTTGAAGAAGAAAATCAAAAAGATTTAAATGAAAGACAAGCTGTTTGTGATTATTTAAAATCAAATACTAACACATTTACAGAAACAGAACTTGCACAGTTAAGTATTACTCAAAGTGATTTTGATCATGCTTTAAATGTTGTACAACCATCTTCTAAAAGAGAAGGATTTACAACTATTCCTGATGTTACTTGGGATAATATTGGAGGTATGGAAGAAGTTCATAATGAATTAAAAAGACTTGTAGTAGGTGCTGTTCAATACCCATCATTGTATAAGAAATTTGGTGTTGATACTCCTGCTGGTATTCTTCTTTATGGACCACCAGGATGTGGTAAAACATATTGTGCTAAGGCTTTAGCTAATGAATGTAAAGCTAATTTTATTGCTGTTAAAGGTCCACAATTACTTAATAAATATGTTGGTGAAGCAGAACGTGCTGTAAGACAATTATTTATGAGAGCAAGAAATAGTGCGCCTTGTGTTATATTTTTTGATGAATTAGATGCACTTGCACCAAAACGAAGTGAAGACTCATCTGGGGTATCAAGAATTGTAAATCAATTGTTAACTGAATTAGATGGTATGGATGTAAGAAAAGATGTTTTTGTTGTTGCAGCAACAAACAGACCAGATTGTATTGATCCAGCAATGTTAAGACCTGGAAGACTTGACAGACTTATTTCAGTTGATTTACCAAATAGTGATGCTCGTGTTGATATTCTCAAAACTATATGTAAACGACAAAAAGTTCCACTAGCAGATAGTGTTAATTTAGAAAAGATAGCACGATCTGTTCAAGTAGATGGTTTTTCTGGTGCAGACCTTACTGCTTTGGTTAAAGAAGCTTCTGTTAGAGCTCTTGATGAAATTGTAAAAAAAGTTGGATATGAGAGTGCACAAAAAGATGGTGGTTTAGTAGAAGAAAGGCACTTTATTGAAGCGTTATCAAAAATACGTCGTAGCGTAAGTAAAGAAGATGAATTAGAATATTTAAAGATAAAACAAAGTATTTTATCTCAAAATTGATTGAGTTGATTGTTATTTTTGTTTTTTCTTTTATTATTGATAAGTTTAAATAATTTTTTTCTTAGATAAAAAATAAATTAAAAAAAATTCAATCAATTTTCTTCCATTCTAATATCACTTTGAATGTGTTTTACTGATCGAGATGCATCGTAAAACAATTCATAAACTTTCTGAATATCAACAACATCAACTTCTTCAGCACCTCTTTTTTTAGCTTTAAGCATAGCTAATGAAATAAGTTGTATTGAATATCTCAAACTTGTTTGTTTAGCAATTTCAGTAAGAGCATCTAATGACTTAGCATTCATTCTAACTTGTTCTTCTTCAGCTCTAACAGCAAGAATCATTCTAATTTCATCTGAAGTATATTCTTGAGTTTTAACAATAATAAGTCTATCTAAGAAATCTCCAGGAATACCATGAGGAGATATTTCTTCAGTTCCTCTTATTTTAACGTTTCCTCTATTTGTTGCCATAACGATTGTTGGTGTCATTTCTTGTTCAATTGCATTATTTAAGAATGAAAAACATTCTAAATCTAACATATGTACTTCATCAATAAATAATACTCCTGGTAGAATCTCAGCTTTACCAATTCGAATCCATTCTTTTACTTTTTCATCAATTCGATTTCTTATTTCAGCTGATATTTCTCCTGTGTCACCTGCAAATAAAGATAATACTCCTCGTGCTTTTGAATTAATAACATCAATTTCATGCAATGTAACTGTATGAACAATAGTTTTCTTTTGTTGTAATTCTCCTTCTGGTGTTGGTACAAATGTTGTCTTTGCATCTGTAACTTCAAAATCTTTTGATCTTGCTGCAGATCTTCCTAAAACAATAACAGATCCTGACGCTTTATCAATTTGAATCACATCACCTCCTTTAACATTTTCTTTTACTAAAGCGTCAATCATTCTTTCACCTAAATCATAAACTGTTTCCATGTCAGTTGTTTTAATTGTTAATTTACCTTTACGTGCACCAGCTGTAGGACGTTCAATTCTTAATTCTTCAACTTCTCCTTCAATTATTTCAGTCTCTTCTTTAATTCGAAGAGCAACAGACCTTCTAACAGCTTGTGTTAATGCTTCTGCCTTAGACATTGCTAATGAATATACTTCACTACCACTAATAATTGTAAATGGAGTGTCTTCTCCTAGAGCTTGAGCAAGTCCCATTGCAAGTGCAGTTTTTCCTGTTCCTGGTTTTCCAGCAAGAAGAATTGCACGCCCAGAAATTTGTCGAGATTGAACCATACGAAGTACAATTCCCATAGCAGTACGTGCAGCAACTTGACCAACCAATCCATCAGCTTTATTACTAGCAGTGTATTGACCAGTAAGACCCAAACCATGAATATGACTATGAGCACCAATACGTTCTAATTTTGTAACTTCTTTAACTTCGTTTATAGCAGAAAGGGTTGGTAATGACATTTGAAAAAAACAAAATTTTGTTTTTTCAAGTTCTTTTTTTTTTTATAAAAAACAAAAAAAAAAGAAGAAAAAATTTTTTTATTTTTCAGATTTTTTTAATGCTACTCTTCTTTCCTTTCAACTTTAAAATCATTTAATGAGTGTTCAGTCAGAAACAGTAACCAAACGTACCTTCTCTTTTTCAAGAAGAAAAATAGAACACGCTTTTAACCAAGTTGTATTAGATGTAGAAAGTATAAAAACAATTATTAGGAAAAAAGGAATACCTGAAGATATTCTTCAAAAAAATATTTTTAGAAGTAAAATATGGAAAGTATTTTTTGGGTTTCTTCCAGAGAATACAGCACTATGGATAGACAAAGAAAGAATGTACACTTTACAATATTCCCAATTTCTTAATGACTTTTATTATAATATTGATTTTCCAAAAACTGAAACTTTAATAGTATTACAAAAAGATATTTCACGTATATTTCCAGATAATCCATTCTTTAAAGATGTTTGTTATTTATTTTAGATTATAGAAATAAAGTACTTAATTAATAGGAAGAAAATCTTGAATCAGTTCAAAGAATACTTTTTGTAAATTGTATTTTTAATAAATCAATAAAATATGTCCAAGGAATGCATGAGATGTGTGGTCTTATTTTTTATGTATTTAGTCAATCAGGTCAATCACGTGAAGTGGTTGAAGCAGAAGCATATTTTGGATTTACTACGTTAGTTGTTAGATTTAGAGATTGGTTTGATAAAGCATGTGATAATAAACCAACTGGTTTAAAAGAATGTTTTAAGAATATCGATAGTATATTAAAAATATATGATTATGAACTATGGAAATATTTAAATAAATTAAATGTAGACGTAACTTGTTATAGTTTTAGATGGGTTAGTATGTTATTTATTGATGATTTTTCTATTAAAGATGTTATTAAAATATGGGATGTATTACTTAGTGGATTTGATTCACAACAAATTTTTATTGATATTATTTGTATTACTATCGCTATTATTGAATTGCATCGTGAGTTCTTACTAAAATCAGATTCTGATGTTTGTTTACATCATTTAATGAATATTAAAAATACAGCTGATTCTGTACTAGAACGTGCATGTAAAGTAAGAAAATTTGTTGAATCTAAACATGTGTTTCATTGAATGTTATAAATAATAAATAATATTTTTTTATTCTAGGGTTTATTTTAATAATATTTTGCCATAATTTTACAAATATTTCTTAATAAGTAAGATTTCTTTATTATTACTTTCTAATAATTGGTAATGATGATGAAAAGTTTTCAGATTTTCTATGAAGACATTTTCAGCCTTGTCTGAGCCATTTTTTTATTTGATGTAACTATATCAAAAAAATATAAATTTAAAAAGTGTTTTACTTAAAATGATATTAGATTAATAATAAATAACAAATTAAATAGAAAGAAAACAAAACTCCAATTAGATTTAGAACAAAACGCAAGCTCCTTTCTTCTCTTTTTTCGAGGTATCTTTCTTTCCACTTTTCTTAGAAGATTCTTGTTTAGACTCTGATTTTATTCCTTTCATTTCTGCATATTTACTCAAAATCTCCCCAAAAACTTTTTTAACCATTTCTATATCATGCAAGTCTAATTCATAAAACAATCCTTTATAACTGTCTGCAGCTGCTTTAACTGGCGTTGTGTCAAAATCTTGAGCAAGATCTTTTTTAGTCATAACAACACATATAAGATTATCGTCATTTACACAGTCTTTGTATTGTGGTTGTTCGATATAGTGTTCAATAAATTTACAATCAGTAGGATTTATTTCAGACCCAATAAAAATATGAATAAGTCCAGAGGTTGCATAAGTAGAAACAGTAGCTTTTAAATCTTTAAAGTTATTTCCAGGTTCATCATAAATACTTCCACTGAAGCTAATTGTGTCAACAGTAAACGTAAATCTGTCTTGAGTTCTTGATTGTGTTTCTACAAAATCTTCCTGAAATTCACCTCCTCGTACAATATTAGAGAATGTTGTTTTCCCACTTTGTGAAAGACCAAATAAGCAGATATTTACGTCAGTCATGAAAATAGTATTCTTATGAATATTAGTTAATTTTTTAATGAGATGTTTTTATAGTAATTTTTATCATTCTTTAATCTTTGAATAGATTTCCAATTTTTATTCACCTTTTTGTTTTGTTTCTTTCCCGTTTTTTCTAACTTTTTTCCCTTTCTATTTTGAAAAACAACTTTTTTAATTTCTTTATATTTAAAATAGTTTTATATCTCCCTTTCTATTTTTTATTGTTATGTATAACCTATAGTTTTAATTATTTTGAAAAAATTCAGTCAAGTTATTCGCATTTTATTTGTGGGCAAAAGTTAAAACATTGAATCACTTTTCTGACAGTTGGTATTCGTTCTTCTATCTTTGGAACAGACTCAATATTAAATGGTATTATTGAATCTTTCATCCAACTATACATCACATCACTAAATTTATGTGGATATTCACATAAAATAGCTTCCCAATCAGTTTGCATTCCTTGTGGAATATGTTTACCAATTTGCTTACCTATTGAAGCTAATACAGACATCATAAATACAAACCCTCCTGCTGCAGTTCCACGAGTTAGTGGCATGAAATTATACCAGAAAAATGTGAAAGAAAACATAGCCCTTAAAATTTTCTCCTCTTCACTTTTTTCTCCTTTTCTAGTAAGTATTAACAATGCTAACTTCTTCCAGCAAGCCTCAAGTTCTTTATCATATAATATCCATCTTGATTTTTTGCATGGTGTTTTAATAGCAAAATCATATCCTATTGGTTCTTTTATTTCAGTAACTAAATTGGTTCCTTCATAGATAATTCGTTCTCCAGTTTTTGGGTCATCAAAGTTATCAGATCTACATGGAGTAGTAACTTGGAAATTAGACTCAACAACTCTAAGAATATCTCCTATATTTTTTGCTTCTGTAACTGCTTTAGCCCATTCTGGTTTTAATTGGACTTGTTTAGGAAGTAACTCTTGAACGATTTTAAATGCCCGATCATATTGACAGAAATACCTAATTACTCTTCCTTGTCCAGTATACATAGGTGTGTGTGATCCAAATCCTTCTTCAAATTGTTCAGGTGTTAACAAATCAATCCAATAGACAGGGTCATTCGGTTCAGATATTTGTCTCCATTTTGTAGATAATTCCATTAAAGTTCTCCATCTTATTTTGTCTAACAATTTCATGGCACTTTCTTCGTCTAATCCACCATTAATCCATTCAGGAATAGTTTCTCTAATATATTGTCCAATATTTATTGCTGCTAATCCTCCCATGAGATATTGAGAAGCGTTATGAACAAATCCTTGAGAATCATATTGCATATACTTACCAATGTTCATTGCAGGAATTAAAATCTTATCAATAACGTCTTGGCTTGGTAAATCTGTTTCATTGATATCTGGAATAGTGTCATCATATGAAGATTGTTCTTCATATCTATGTAAGGCAGCAGGAATAAGGTGTTTACAAAATCCTTCTTTAAATAGTGGATCAAATGAATCAATGTTCCATTCTGTAAAGTTATGATCTAATAAGTGGTGTGTGTATAATGCTACTTCTTTCATATACCAAGCTGTGTCATCACTTTTAATATCAATAGCTTGGTCAAATGAACTAATAGCTTCTTTAAATTGTCCAGACGCAGATAGTGTGACTCCGTTATAACGATATAAATCAACTTGTTTATCAATTTCTTTTTCTAATCCGTATTGTTGATTGTTAACATTTGCAATTGCTATTGCAAATTCTTTTGTTGCTTTAATATGATGTCCAATTTGTTGGAATAAGACCCCTCTTAAATAATGTGCAAAACAATGATTTGGAGCAAGTCTAAATATGATTTTAAACACATCTTCTGCTTTATTTGGTTTTCCAGCATCTTTCAATAATTGGAATAGATTAACATATCCATCAACAAAATCTTGTTTAATTGAAACAGCACGACCAAACGCTTCAGCTGCTTCTTTGAATAAACCCAGTGCTGTGTTATTTAATCCATAATGATTCCATGCAATATAATCACCTTGAGAACGTTTAACACAAACACCAAAGTCATCACGAGCTAATTCATAATTACGTATCATTTGATAACAAATACCACGTTGTTTATAACAATCAACATCTTTTTCTCCTCCATATTTTACAGCGTCATTCATATCAACAAGAGCCTCATTAATCTTACCTAATGCAATTAGTGTTTGTCCTCTTCGTTTATGTGCATCAGCATTTGTTGGATCTATATCAACAGCACTACCAAAATCTTCAACTGCCATTTGGTATTGACCAATCATAGCAAAAGCAGTTCCACGTGCAATATATCCTCCACATACATTTGGGTGTTTTTGAAGAAATTTTGTTAAATAATTAACTGCTTCTTGTAATTTTCCATTATTAACTAAAAGATATCCAATTGCCAATTCTTGATCAATTTGTGGGTCGTTTGTTGAATTAGCAAAATTCTTTGGTACACCTTTTTCATTTTGCTCATTTATAGGAATAACTTCTCCAATAACATTACCGTTGTCATCAACTTCTTCAACCTTAAGTCCTTTGCTCCTTTTAGGCCCATAACTTATTTTATCATTAGGTAATGGTTCAGGAATTTTAATTTCAATAGGTTTTTGTTGTTTTGTAGATTGAATTCCTTTTTTTGCCTTTTTACGCTCTTCAGCCATCACCCTTTTTGCATCCATTGTTCTTTCTTCTAAACTAGTTTCATTATCTTCAGTATAAATATTGTCCAGTTTATTCTTCTCATTAATAATTTCTTTTTCTTGTTTATAGGAGGTTTCTTGAGTAGTTTCTTTAATTTGTGACTCTTCTTTACTTTTTATTTTCTTTTTTGAGTGGTGGTGGTGATGATGTTTTTTTTCTGTTAAAGAAGTTTCTTTTTTAATTGGTATTTCTGTCATCTCTTCATTTTCTGACTCTTCATCATCTGATGACATAAACTTAGGATGTCCTATGTTTAACGTTCCAAAATTTCTGATTTTTAAAATAACAAGTGATCTGTCTCGAGATAGCTTTCTGACTTTTTCAATATCAATCCCATCGAGAACACTTTTTCTTTGTTTTGATTTGCTTTTATGTTCCATGTTCTGACCTAGTAGATAATTAGAGTTCTCTATAAATTATAGTTCTTTTTATTTTTTATTGAATAAAAAGGAAAACTTAGAAAAAATTCATAAGAGATAAGGAAATATTTTATATAATTTATTTGAGGATTAACTTATTCAGAAAAAATGAATTTTAGAAACCAAAAAACATTTAATTTTTCAAGTAATACTGATTGTTGATAAGTATAATCAATTTTAAACAGGACGTTAAACATAGAACAAGTTTTTTAATGAAATTACTTCAATTTCTTTTGAAAAGAATTAATAAATTATTTTTTTTGTTTAATAATAACGAAATTATAAATCATTATTTACTATTTGAAACCATTGTTCTTTAAAATAAATTAATAAGTTAATGATTTATGAATATAATATAATGACATATAAATTATGATGACTTTTTTTGTTAAAGAAAAACAAATGGTATAGAATAAGGCACTATAAAAAATGGATGTTGTGAGTGTTTTTTCAATGTACTTAAATGGCAAGGATTGAACAAAAAAAAATCAAACTAATATAGTAATTAGGAGGAATATTTTTGTTGATTGTATGAGAGTGTTAAGAGAAAAAAGTAAATATAGAAAATTTATAAGTTTGTTTAAAAATAGTTTAAACCAAAACATTGTTACGATATATTTTAAGATAATAAAAATACATAAATAATGAAATTACCAAAACAATAAAAAGAAAGAACAAATTTAAGAATCAAACTGAGACATTAGTTGGAAATAATAAGGTTATTTAATATATAACAAAAAATATTTGTTTAAATAAAATATAATCATAAGTAAGAATCGATAATTTATTGAAAACAGTTCAAATTAATAGTTTTTATAAATATGTTTATTTAGGAGTATTCTTTTTATTAAGGAAGAACGAACAATTTTATAAGTATTTTCATATAATTAAAGAGTAATATAAATTTTAGATTAATTAATTTTAATAAAACATTTATAAATGATTATGTTTTAGAATATGCGTAGAAACACAAATAAAATAAATAACAATATTTCAAAGGTATTTGTTTAAAAAAGTGTAGTTATTTTGAATTTTAAGTGATGAGTAGAAATATTTAAAATCTATCAAAATAATAAGATAATAAAATTTGATAAATGAGAAAATAAAGAAATAAATATTATTAACTTTCTTTTGTGTTAACTGATTTAAACATATTCTTTAAACCAAAGATTAAATAAATAGAAAATAATTATAAATTAATTTAAGTCAAAGTAATAAATACTTTTAAATAAATTTGTTATTAGATTTATTATTTTAATTAATACAAACGAATTATTTTATATAATCTCACTATTTCTTCTTTATTATAATTTTTATTAAAAATTACCAATAATATTTCATTCGTCGTCTTCTTCTTCGTTCAATAATTCGAGTAGAATTAATATCTTCATTTGTTCTTATTGATATTTCTGATTGTTCTGGTGATGAATATTTTTTACAAGAACATGGTTCATATGGAGAATCATCTTTAGTTTGATATTTGTCGTCATAATAATTACAAATTTTATTTCTATAACTTTCAGTTAATTCTTTTTCAAAACTCTCTTGGTTATTATTCTCTTTTTGTTGTAGTATTTGTTTAAATCTTACAAATTGTTGGAATTCTTCCCACATTTCTTTATCTGCTAATAAAATCTTTGAACCTTCTCTGTCATTTCTCCTTTTATAATTTTCATACTCTTCTTTACTATAAGTCCCTCTAGTTCTTTCTCTACTATTGCTTCTACTTCTAGTATGTCTATAAACTGGGTTATGATTAATATAGTCAATGCTAATGTACCGTTGTTCATTTTCATTATCACTGTAAATCTGGTTGTCTTTTATTTCATTTACATCAAGTAATGATAATTCAGGAATGATACGATCTATAATAACTTCATTATTTCTTAAATCTACACCATCATCAGCATTTAAATCAATAATTTCATGAGTATTATTATTATCACTATTATCATTTTGGTCACTAATTATTTGAACAAAAGGGATTTGTTTCTTTTGAAAATGAGGATAAGTTTTAGTTAATGATTGTTGATTTACTCGTTTTTCAATTTCTTCAAAGTATTTAATTTGTTCTTTATAACTTCGTTTAGTTTTTTTATGTTGTAAAGATTTAATGACTTCCCTAACAGTTTTCTTTTTAGAT